AAAAAAAAAAAAAAAACCCAAACCCCCTACAAGACACCAAAAGTGAGAGCCTAGAATAAGACCCACAACGAAGGACCTGGAGTAAGACCCTATATAATAAGACCGTATGATGAATGAGAGCCTGTAGGGTCTTGGTGAGACCCTTGGCAAACCCTTTGAGGGTTCACGGTTCGGTTTAGGGTTTAGGGTTTAGGGTTTAGGGTCTTCTTAAACCCTAAACCCTAAACCCTAAATACCAAAGCTTGAGAGGCCGGCCCGAACGCTGTGGCCTTGACGCAGGTGGGTCGAGTTCCCCACGTGTGCAATTTTGAGGGTTCAGAGTTTAGGGCTTAGGGTCCCCAAATTGTATATTAGTCTTTGAATTTGTGCCAATGTACCTATATAGGGATTATACTTCAAGGCCAATGTCTACATTCTTTGGGTGCATGGACCCTTCAAGTTTCGTATAGATCGTTGTCTTTCGGGTTTAAGGTTTGCGATTACGGGTTTGTCGCCAGTGGGGTAAACAATTGCCGGGTGTTGGGTTTAGGGCTGTTGAGGGTTTACGTAGGGTTTAGGGTTTAGGGCTGAAGGGTGAGATTGATGACTGGGTTTTCAGTTGTACATAGTAGATGACTGACCACCAACTATTTGTGGGCTGGAGCCCTGATCTAGTTCTGATTGTCGACGATCGTTTGTTTCTGGCTTTGAGGGTGCATGGTTTAGGGTTGAGGTTTATTGTTTAGGGTTCGGGGGTCATTGCTTAGGGTTTATTGATTAGGGTTTAGCGGTTATTGTTTAGGGTTGGGGGTTTATTGTCTAGGGTTTAGGGGTTATTGTTTAGGGTTTAGGGTTTATTGTTTAGGATTTATATAGGGGTTATCGATTAGGGTTTAGAGTTTAGGGTTTACTGATTAGGCTTCAGGGTTTATTGTTTAGGGTTTAAAGTTTAATGTTATTGATTAGGAGTTTAGGGTTTAGGGTTCTTTTGTTGGGACATTAGTGACGAGACACCGAGGGTCGTGGGTTTGGGGCGTGGGCTTTGAGATGAGTGCAGAAGCTCGGAAGCTAATATAGGGGCCTTATTAATTTCCAATACTGTCTCAACTGGAGTATCTCTTTCCTTTTCCAGTACTACACGTTTGCCTTTGTTTAGGGTTTCGGGTTCATTAAAAGCTGAATAACGAAAGCAACAATCGCAAGGCTTGTATCACCCCGCAAGGACACGCAGCAGACCAAAACCTGCCGCCCAAGACTAGGCAACAAAAGGAAACCTTGTCATTGAACATATATGCATGTGTGTAAGTATATCTATATCGAAATCCTTTCGGTATCTCGATATTTTTATATACATGTATTTTGTGTATATACATATACGTATACATACATGGGTGTATGTACTTTACTGTAGTGTAACGTAATGTAGTGTAAAGTAATGTAATGTATATATACATGTGATATTCTAGATCTGTATTTATATCTATACCTGTATCTATATCCAGAGCCGTATAACTACAAGTGTATACATATATATATATATATGTATGTATGTATGTCTACAACATCATTAGACCCTAAACCCTGAACCCTAAACCCTAAACCCTAAACCCGATACATACATACATACATACATACATACATACATACATACACACATACATACATACATACGGTATAAAGCAGTGCGGTGAAGTCCACGGGGCGACAAAGCGGCCCTTGCAGGAGCTCGAGGAAGCGGCGAAGAAGACCCTGGAGGTGCGAAATCCTAAGCTGAGAACCTATTCTCAAGGCTTAGGGTTTAGGGTTTAGGTTTTATGGTTTAGGAGTTAGGGTTTAGGTTTTGTGGTTTAGGGTTTGGGGTTTATAGTTTAGGGTTTAGGGTTTAGGGTTAGCAGTCGTTCCCCTTGTAGTCCCGTATTTATACTACCCCAGATCTGCAGATGTTGCTGAACTTGGCGACTACTTCACAAGTCAAGACTTCGAGGACCTCTATCGTGACCAAATTGACTTGCTGGGGCACGGTGAGGAATCAACCCTAATCCCTAAACCATAACCCTAAACCCCAATGAGTTCCGTAGCTATTAGAACGCAGCACACCGCCTGAGAGCGCGGTCGCGCCGTCGAATTGGCTCCGGACCTTAACAAGGGTTGAAGGGCCCTCGCCAAGTCCATTTGGGGTTTAGGGTTTAGGAGAAGGGGTTAGGTCTTGGGCTTGGGGGGTTAATTAGGGGTTGGGTCTTAGGGTTCAGGGGTTAGTTCGGGGTTAGGTCTCAGGGCTTAGGGTTTAGGGGTTAAATAGGTTAATAAGGGGTGAGGTCTTAGAGTTTGGGGTTTGGGGTGAATTATATAGGGGTTAGGTCTTAGGGTTTAGGGTTCAGGGCTTCGGCAAGAGGACGACAATCGGGAGCGTGGTCCCTGCCTGTGGTTCCAATGCATACCATTCAAAGGGCTATAGCTTGTAATGACGGGGTCGCAATATTCAAAATTCCGCTAATTTGCAGGGTTTGGGGCCAGAGGTATTGCTCAAACCCAAATATAGACCCCGAAACCGTAAACCCTGAGCCCTAAACCCCAAAGCCTCAAGCTTACAGACCGATCTTCTTGACAGCTGCCATGCGCATGTACCTAGCCGAAGATTTGTCGACAACCTCAGGGTGTACCTTAAGATATGAGGGTTTATAATACGAACCTACAAAAAAGTGGGTTTTGGGTTCTTAAGGTAGGGTTTCAGGCTTTCGCTGTTTTCTGATTCCGCCTTAACCCTACGGGTCCAAAGGACCCAATGATTAGGTACTTAGGTTACGTCTTGTAGTTATGCAGGTTACTATTTGGGAGAGTATATGATGATTAGGCACTTGGACCCTTAGGGTTAACTTATTAATTCAATGCTAAAAGTTAGATCTCCAAGCCTGAACTTGGGTCTTGGTCTAGGACATTTTCAGGTGGGTAGTTATCGTTATAGGAGCCTTATAGAAGGTCTATATACCTTATGGAAGCCTTATAGAAGCCCTATTCCCTAAACCCTAAACTCCCCACCTGTAGTTTCTCCCTCAACTTGGAGCATTTGCTGGGTTCTACAGTCCCTAAACCCCTAAACCCTAAACCCTAAACCCTAAACCCTAAACCCTCTACAGTTCCGTAGCCATGCTGACGGGATCCTGGGACTTCGGAACCAGGACTGTAAGTAATGTGGTACCTGATGATGATAGTACTTACTTGATCCTACTTGCTTTCGTTATGGAGCCCAATTAGGATATGCTTATTTAGTGGCTCATTAATCATTCATAGCTCACTTTCTCAGTTTTGAACCCCCGCAAGTATGTACGCCTTGATTCGGCAAAGAGCCTCCGGCACTATAGCCCCAACACCCGCCAAAGCCCCAAGTCGCAAAATCTTAAGCCATGAGGCATAGAACTTAGGGTTTAGGGCTCATAAGGCTTATGGTTTCACCTAGCCCGAAGAGTGGAAGCATAGATTTTACTACAGACAGTGTACTCTCCTTCGGAGGGAAGGATCGGACATAAGATGGATTGATATTGAATATTGGGGCTTTCCATGTTGGTTTCCGGAAGTGAACAGAGCGGTGGCCATCACATTCGGATCCTGCTTTGACCGATAATTAGTAATGCAGAAGTTTTAGGATCCTTAAGGGAGGGTGGCTCACGGGGGGAGGGTCCTAGGGAGCTTTAGGGAACCTAAGGGAGCACTAGGGAGAATTGGGGATTATATACTGGGTTATACACCCCCCTTAGAACCCCTCCTTTAAGGATTCCATAAAGAAGGGCTGCTTCATCCGGGCCCTACATCAGCAAGCAAACCCCAACCAAACGTTGTCGATACCAACTCAAGATAGCTGAACCACCTGGACAGCCTGGCGTTGAAAAGCATACTAACACAGAGGTCGAAAGAATCCGCATCAAAATTCCCTCAGTTTCGAAAAAGAAAAAACATGCAGTATACTTCAGACGTCAGTCAAATTCTTAAGGCCCCTAAGTTAAGTGCTTGGAGGAGTACCAGCAGGTCCAGAAGGAGCGTATCGAGGCGGCCGTTGTTCCTTCATTCCCGAGCCTTCTTCGGGGCCGACGAGGTTTTGTAGGGTTCCGGGTTTAAGGTTTAGGGTGGGTCTAGGTGTTGCGTATAAGAATAATAGGCCTTGGGGCTCCATGTCATGTGTTGACTTGCTTGCTGGAGCCCTTGTGGGCTTGGCGCCAGGAGAAGATGCCCAAACCAAGTGGTTGGGGGTTTGACTCGGGTCCAACAGCGAGTGAGGAGTGTTCAGACCCTAAACCCTCAACCCTAAACCCTAAACCCTAAAAGACCCTAAACCCTAAACCCTAAGCCCTAAACCCTAAACCCTAAACCCTAAAAGACCCTAGGCCCTAAACCCTAAGCCCTTCTTTGACTCTCCAGACCTTGAGGCTCAGTGAGGTTTTAGGGCTTCGGCTCACGGGTAAGCCCCTAAGCTGCGAAGCATCGACATCCTGACAGGTGCTAGGGATCAGGGTGTTGGGACTTGGGGTTTAGGGTTTAGGGGACTTGGGGTTCTTGGGGCGTGGGGTTCTTGGGACTTGGGGTTCTTGGGACTTGGGGTTCGTAAGGAGTAGATCTAGGCTCTAAGCTATCTCCAAGCCCTATGTATATATGCCAGGCAGGACACCCCAAAGACGAAAGACTCAAAATATGCTAAAATGAATCAAGCCAAGAAGCCCGTCCCATACCACTACCAGAGACCGCAGCCCCTGAACTTCTTGAGCCACCGAAACGCACTGAAAGCTGAAGCCTTCAATCCTATCTTCGACCCCTGAACCCTAGAACTGAGGGCTTGGGGTTTAGGGTTTAGGGATTCGGGCTCAGGGTTTGGGGTATGAAGCGTATGCAATGTAGGGCCGGCAATATTAGAGCCTGGACCCCTAAGCCAACTTCAATCCCTAAGTACTACAGTTACTGCACCGTGAATCAGAGCCCTGAATCTTAATGACCTGGTGTAGATCTTCAGCTGATATGATCCAATCTATGTGCGTGTATACATATATATATATATATTCACATATATTGGGACCGCTCGACACCCCACATAAACCTTCAACCCCTCCAAAGACCCTAAGTCTTAGATAAACCCAGCTATATACTACACCTAAGCCCTCTTGCAAGGCGAAGACCCCCCAAACCGAACCCGATCCCTAAAGAAATACCCCACTTCTCAACCCTAAACCCTAAACCCCTAAACAAACTTCCACTTCTTGTGGGTCCCTTTTTGGGGCGTTGTTCGAGCCACAGGGACTGCGGCAAGCAGCAAGGGACAAGGCGAAGTCTTGTTGCTGATCAAGGGTTTAGGGTTGAGGGCTTAGGGTAGGCGTCAGGGTTGAGGGGTTCGTAGCCCTGAACCCTAAACCCTAAACCCTAAACCCTGTGAGGGGTTAGTGGCCCTAAACCCTAAACCAGTTAGGGAGGGGTTTGGGGCTTCATGGTTCGGGTTGTGAGCTTTTAGGTTTTAGGATTTCAAGGCCGGGGCGTTGAGGGCTTTTGTTAGTTTGGGTGGCTCAGAGCACCGATCGTAATCTCATGGTTGAAGGCTTGAACACTAAACCCTAAACCCTTAACTCAGGGCTAAGGCGAACCTTGTTTTGGGGAAGACCACGCAGCGTAGAGAGGTGGGCTTATGGGGATGATGGTGGTGCATCGGGTACAGTGATGGGCATGCCGGGGGTGAAAGGCTTAAGTAAAGTACCCTAGACCCTGAACACTAAACCCTAGATGTTCAGGACGAGACATCTCGAAGTACTTCTGCTTTAAACCAGAGGTTCAGGACCTGACAGGAGTTGAGATTCGTTCGGGGACGTTAGCTTGGGGCTTTGATGTAGCGGCCTTAGTAATTGGAATAGGGTTTTGGGGTATAGCAAACTGTAATTATAGATCGAATGCTTTGGGCCTGCAGGCAAGTACTCGGGTCGAGGCCCCTGTGCCCCACCCAGAGCAAGTATCGACACATTGTGGCAATCCACAGCCGCCACTGGGCCATCGGTTTCAGAACTTGAATGGTCGTTCAAACGAACATTGCGCAGTACCAAAGGCCGCACCACAGCGGGGGAAGGCAAGCTCCTCTGTGATTTGGTCGAGGAGTTGAAAGCCAAATATGGTGACGTGGTTGCAGTGATCTTTGACGGTGCTGCTTGGGATGGTTCTATGAGCAGCCGGCTCTTGCTTGCCACTGAAGCGACCATGTTCGCGGCAGCCCTAGACAGCGACGAGTTGATAGGCGGTACGCGAAGGATGCAGGGCCTTTGCTCATTCGCGATCGCCCAGGCACGATTTCGATCTACATAGTTGGGAATCCTTACTGGTGACTCTTGCACCAGCTTTGGCAATTCGTTCATCAATTGCGTCCTCCAGGCTCTAGCTGCCCGAATGGCCTTTTGGCCTGAATGTCCTGGAGGGACAAACTGAGATATTTGTTGAGGGTGACGATACCATTCTGCTGCTCATTCCAAAAAGCGTACTGGACTCCGATGGGACAGGCTAGATTCGGCTAGATACTCCTTCTTCAGCGGCTGGATAATCCCTGGGGTCAGCATCGGCAAACCCTATGCAACTGATACTACCAGAACCAGAGCCAACGCCAACAGAGTGCGACTCAGCGAAGTGAGGAAAGGATACCAGTGAAAACAGACTGTTGAGACTTGGGTGACAGGTGAGAGCGGTTTTTTCGCCGGCGATACGTGTCGGTGCATCGCAATAGGTAATATTTAAGGCCCCTTTATTAGGGCCGTTTGGGTTAGGGTGCATTTAGATTACAAGTAGACTAGAGGCACTTCGCGGTGAGATGGGGTTTGCGGGCGCATCATTCTCAGGCCAGAATCAAGCTTGACACTCTAAATGCATAGAAGCTTAAAGGGTATTGTGCTATGCAGCCATATAAGCACAAAACCTCTCCGAAGAGGCCTGCCCACAAAGATGTCTTACTGCCCTACGGAGCATATTTGATTTATTTGCTATGGCTTGAGCACAAAATGGTAACCATAGGTCACTACACTGTACAAGTCGTGTTAGATCGAAACCAGGGTCAACCGGATATACGCAATCGCCCCGATTATCAAACGAACTCTGAGGGCAGCCGGCTCGAGCAAGGTCCAGATGGATTAGCTCCGACCCATCTTGAATTACTGGAATCGGAACCCCAAGCCCTGCCAAAGACCTTCAACCAAAAGCCCTTCCCCCCCTCCACGAAAACCTACATCCGAGACATAAACCCTAATCCGAACTTCGTAGTGTAGTGGAGTAGGTAACCCTTAACTCCTCAACCTTTCTGGATGTATTGTACTCCCAACATTATTTCTGTTTACTCCCGAAGATTAACCGTGGGTTTCTCTATGATACTGGGCAAGTAAGTAACCCTAAACCCGAAACCAACAACAAACACAAGCACGGTATTATCCTAAGCCCTAAACCCCGCCACAGCCAGCAAAAGCCCGCCAGGTGAAGTCCGAAAAGAAGGAGCCCAGACGAGCCGAACTCAGCTGCAGAGTTGTTCTGTTTTTTGGCTTCAGGGTTTGTCATAGTTGGATAACATGTTTTCATGTTTCCGGGTACTTAAAACTCAATGAGGAATAGAAATCTGGCTTTCTAGATTTTCAGCCATATCCCAACCACAAGGTTCTATGAGGTTATTTCGAGGGATCCAAGGCTCCGGGTTTTCTTTTTTTGGTTATATAGTAGAAACCGCAAGGCCATTTCACAGACAGGTTGTCTTCTGAGTTAGAGGGGCTTATAGGCTATAGGTTTGGAGTTTAGGGCTTCTGCCCTACACCCTAAACCCCAAAACCCCCAAAAAACCTAAACCCTCAGCCCGTACACCCTAAATCCTAAGCTTATTCTTGGCTGAGGTCGGTGTGGGTTTCTAAAAGGGTGGTCTCGGCCTGTTGGGGCTGGGGGGTGTGGGGTTTTGGGGCTCGGAGCTGTTCTTCTTTATTGTTCCGTCGTTTAGGACTTAGGGCTTAGGGTTTAGGGTTTAGGGCTTTGGGTTTAGGGTTTTGGGTTTTGGGTTTTGGGTTTAGGGGTTTATCGTTTAGGGTTTAGGGTTTATGGTTTTGGGTTTAGGGGCTTAGGGTTTAGGGTTTAGGGTTTATGTGTCTTTAAAGGGAGTTACAGTACGATGCTGATGCCGACAGGCTGGAGGACACTCAGGGTCAGGATATTGGGCCACCAGACCTTCGGGCCTAAGCACCTTTGGGTTTAGGGTTTAGGGTTTAGGGTTTAGGGTTTAGGGTAGCACCTTAGGCTCCCTGGCGGATCTTGCAAGCTTAGGCTATGGAAATGGTGTGAGTCTTGATGCTTTGAAGGTTTAGGGCCGTTTGCCATGTAACGCTTAGCGTCTAGGGTGTTTTGGGTTTCGAGTTCAGGTGAGGGTATGAAAGTTTTCTCGGTGGAGCCGGAATCGTAAACCCGTACACCCGGGAGACCCCCTATGAGCGCTTTAGAGGAACCCTAACGCCCAAACCCTAAACCCCATACCCTCAACCCCAGACCCTAAACCCC